CGTGTGCTGTGTATCGTGTGCAGTGTGCATGCAGTGTATCGTGTGTAGTGTGCATACAGTGTGTCCATGTGCTGTGTATCATGTGCAGTGTGTATGCAGTGTATCATGTGCAGTGGGCGTACAGTGTATTTGCAGTGTGTCAGTGTGCAGCGTGTGTCCAGCATGGTGTCGTACCTCCTCAGTTTCAATCGTCACGGAGGACAGTCTGGACTGCAGCTGCTGGAAGCGCGTCTCCAGCTCGTGGCGCACCTGTGCTTCGACGCTCACCTCGCACACCTGGAGGACAGAGGCAGGCAGGGGGGTCACAGCCCCGACAGAGACACACGGGCGAAGCCCTGGCACCCTGGCGCCCTGGCGCCGCAGCGGGACAGACCTGGTCTCCCTCGTGAGGCTGGTACTCGAAGCGGAAGGGCAGGCAGAAGGCCGAGTTGTTCATCTCCAGGATCTTCTTCTGGTCGCTCTGGGGGTCCAGTCCCTGGATGGCCGTGTCCAGCACCACCAGCGCCTCCTCCCTCGACTGCTGCACCCGCCGCTGGGCCGACAGGTAGCCCCTCAGCGCCCCGCCGAGAGACAGGTGGAACCCCAGGTCACAGCACTGGCAGAGCGAGAGGGCGAGAGGGGGGAGTGTCTAGCGAGCAGCTGGCAGTGATGGACAGATGGCGAATCTGCCAATACGGGCCGCCAGGCTATCCCACAGCCCCGTGCACGACCGCGGCTGGTTGGCGGCGGGCCGGACTCACGTCGATGAGGGTGCAGACGTCCTGCAGGTAGTACTTGTTCATGGCGGCGTTGGCGGCCGCCAGGTTCAGCAGGTAGTCGTTCCGCGCCTTCGTGCACTTCAGCTGTGCCTCCTGCAGCTTCACCAGCCGCTGTCCGGGACGGGAAGCAGAATCAGTATCCCTGGGTGGGGTTTGCATGTTTCCCCTGTGTTTCCCCTGTGTTTCCCCATGTTTCCCCGTGTTTCCCCGTGTTTCCCCGTGTTTCCCCTGTGTTCATGTGGGTGTCCTCCCCATGTGCTCTGGTTTCCTCCCTTACTCCTACGACTGGCGGGTTAATTGGCTTCTGGGAAAACTGGCCCTGGTGTGAGTGTGTGTGTCTGTGTGCCCCGTGATGGACTGGCGCTCCTGGGTGTATCCTATCTTGCACCTGTTGCTAGCCAGCAGCAGTGCTGTCCCCCACCCCCACCCCACACTATCACACTGAGTGCTGTGTTCAGTTGGGAAATCAAAGAGCAGGAGTGTATTTGCAGTGGTGAGGAAAGGTTTGAAAGTGTCTCTGTATTGCTGAGGGAATAAGAGGCAATGTGTGGAAGTGCTGTGTTTGTGTTTTCATGCAAAGAGCAGCCCTACAGGACTCAGAATAGGGAAGCGGGCAGTAACCTCTGCACCAGCGGAAAATCTCTTCCTATTTCTTTCTGGGAGATTTCTACTGAACCTGTCACACTGTCACCACACTAAACTCTGTGTGACCACAGTGAAGTGTAACACAGACCATACACTGTATTATACTGTGACACTGCAATCCTTCTGTACTACACTATCACACTGTGACCACAGTGAAGTGTAACTCTGATCACACACTGT